TTATGAAAATATCAATACACAACATGTAAATTAGGAGGGGAACAGGTTCTTTTTGAGATTTAGAGCACTCAGACTGGCAGTGTGGCCTAATAGGAAGAGGTCAGGTCAACGTGGGTGGGATTCCAGCTCCTCCACTTAGAGCCATGGGGACAACTTACATAAACCTTCTGTGTCCCCATTGCCTCATCTGTAAAATGCACAGAATGCTGTCTATTTTTCCAGATTTGGGGGAAAATCCAGAAAACACTGCCTTTGGTGTCAGGGGGCCCTCATTTTCCTCAATTATAAAATGGACATAATCCCAGTGTCCAAAAGTTGTCAGGATTAGATAACTGGGTAAGTCTGCCACTCTGCCTATTTGGTGTTTAGCGGAACTCCAAAGTTAGCAGTTATTAGTATTGAAAGTGTTTTGCACATAGTAGGTACTCAAAAACTACTAGTTTTTATTGTCTCTCACTTGTGTAGAGGACCCTGCAAACGTTATGCCTCAAGGTCCTAGTCTACACTTTGGAGTGACGTGGGGCCTCTCGGCCTGATCATGCAGAAGCTCTACAGGGTCCTTTGAGAAGCTGCTTATAGATCTAGCCCATCATTGCTGGCCTCTTGTCTACTAGTGGACATTTCCCCTCATATTTTCATCTCAGGATGTTCTCCTCTGGAGAATTATCCCTGCATTAAAGATGTCACACTGGCAGAGGGAACTGACCATGATTAAAAGAAGCACATGTAGCTATTTCAGTAATGAGCAACGATGTCAGACAGTGACGATCCTATCTCTTCTTTCACAAACTACTAATATAATGTGTGTCTCCACTGTCCTCCCTTAAAAAATGTTACTTGAAGGGGCGTTATTATGGGCAAAAAGAAGACCAGAAAGCTTCTAATTACTTTTGAGTTTACAAAACATGGATTTGATTCTTACAACACCATGGCAGACCTTGTTATCCCAACTTCATTGACAAACCCAGGGTGAGAAATTTGTTTTCCACGCATAGATTGCTGGTGAAGGCATACCTTCAACTTGAACCTGGTCCTTCAAACCCTCAAATCTGTGCACCAAAAAATAGAGGTGAAGTAGAGTTACATAACACAGAAGGCCATGTCAGGAGAATGTCTCAGCATAATGGTTTGATGTGTGAAAACTTTAAATCATGAATACACGCCTTTGTAAAAGAAATACAATGGGCAACTAAAAATGAATTATATGGATGAGATGTGGGTAGAAAAAAATAATAGGTGTGTATCCAAAAATAAAGAAGAGTATTAGGGAAAAAGGTTTAAAGGAATGCAGCTTGTGGTCTCAGGCATAACTAGATCCAAAAACCCACAGACACAAACGGGGGCGAAACAAAAGAAGGGGGGAAGCTGACAATCGTTCCTAAATGGCCCCAGGCTTGGAGAGGGAGGCAGCCTTTGAGGATGTCAGACAAACTCACAGGGGAGCCCCAGCAGGCACCTTTGGCAGCAGAACTAACTGCATCCCTTGGCCTAGTTAACCATTCCCACCTCGGGAGAGCTCCAGAAAGCAAGGGAGAGATCACCCCACAAACAAATGTCTCCAGCTGCTGCCAGATGTCTACCATCTCATCAGCCCAGTATTTGATCTTTGATAAGAGGTCATGACCTTTACAAGGACAACGCGCCCCCCCCCCCCCCCAATGTTCTCAACCATCTAGACCTCTGTGTAGATAAAATTTCAGTCCTTACTTGAAAGGAGGTTTTAGCAGGAAAGGTAAGATGAGAGGCAGGGCACTGGACATTTGAAGGAAGTAAGGAAAGAATACACCTTCTCAAAGAAACTAGCAATGCTGAAGGTGGATCTGTCCCTTCACAATTTTGCCTAACAGTAGCCATCATTCTTTGAATATGCATCCTATAGAAAAATTGTGTCTGGGGGTAGATGTGTATATGCACAGGCACGTAGTAAATAATAGTAACACTAAAGATATTCTAACATTTTTTGATCTTTTACCATAAGCCACGCACTGTGTTTTACACTCATTATTGCATTTAATCTTTATAGCATTCCAACTGGGGTTGTATGTTACTTGCTTCATTTAATAACTAAAGAAGCAGGTTTAGACACTGACGTTTATACAGCTAGAAAGTGGTAGAGTAAAAACTCAAACTAGTCAATCCAATTCCAAGTTAACCAGTACATTTGTGTCCTAAACTTAAGATGCAATATTTCTATCATAACACACAGACACACACACACACACACACACACACACACACACGCACTATTTTGGGCCCTGCAGCAAAGAGGCCAGAGCCCCCCTATCCACTCAGGTTTTAACACATACCAAGTACATGAAATTGGACTATGAAGGGAAAAAAATGCTGCATTTCATTGTCAGAAAAGATGGAAAACAAGGAGGGAAAAGTGAAAACAGAAGGTTATAAACATTAAGCAAAAAGCTCTTGTCAAAAGTAGAAATGGAAAGTAAGAACTTTCTGTATCTCTTAAAAACAATGAAAAGGTAACCTTTAAAGCTTGAAGGAATTGCTTTAAGTTTAATCAAAATTTACAACTTTTATGAGGCTTTCTGCTAAATTCTGAGAATGATCATATAAAATCCCTGGGCAAAAAAGAAAATGTGCACAGTATCACATTATTAAGGTAATTTACAACTCACCTGTCTACTGTCGATTCATCAGTCTCATAACCTTGTATACGTCTACTCTGTGCATTTTCAGAATTAAATAAAAGTGTCTGGGATATGAGATAGTATTGGGGGAAAGAGGTAAAATAGTGCCTGGCACATAATAGAAGCTCAATAAATGTTCTCTGAATAAGTCATTAAAAGGCAAACATAGCACACTTGACTCAAACACCAGATTTTCTCAAAGATAAGGAACTTAAACCCTTTAAAATAATAAAACTATCATGATACATAATGGAACAGAATGTAAAATGTGAGTGAATATCTAATCTAAAACCCAAAGCTTCAAATTAAAAATGGACTTGCTTTGGTGCCTGCTTAAGGCAACACCAACAGCCCTCAAACCCTTAGGGGGTCTTATTCTCTCCTCTTCACCATTTTTATTACTTAGCTGAAACATTTGGACAAGTATGTGCATATGAATACATGTACGCATGTACTTCTCCTGGATTATGGACCTCTGACCTTCCTATTTTAAAATGAATCTGTTTAGGGAACTGTTCTTTTATTTCATGTTAGAGAGGAATGGTGCACCCTTCCTTTTAGCTTATTATTAACAGATAGCATAGTGGGTCCCTCGGGACCAGAGCAGCTGAAAGGTAACTGATTCCTTCCTTTTCTCTTCTTCATGACAATTATGCTGTGATTCACATTTCAGACAATTATTTGAACCAAAACCAAAAGAAAGACATTTCATTCTCCGGCATTTTTCATTTAACAAATTAGAAAAAATATCATTATCCTTGTCTCCTGTCCTTTTACCTCTTGCCCCAAACCAGGGCTCTCCTGTGAAAAGGATTTTGAAAACCAGACAGCACCAACTAGACAAATGTTAGACCTCACGCTATTAGACTACCAGGCCATTCAATGCACTAAAGTGTGGTGGGGGTCAGCCGTGTCGGGTGTCGGAGAGAATCTGGGCATGTCCACGGCAGTGCTGAGCTCGCCAAACAAGAAGTCCTTGGCAACTCTGAAATATTTTGAACGTATTGATCCAGAACCTTTCTTTAGAAAATAAATGAGTATCATAGATTCCTCATGGACCCCAAGGGACATTTATAAATAAAAAAAAAGGCCTTTGTGAACTTGAGGCCAAAGTGGTTACAGAATTGATCTGCCTGCTAACACAGAAGGGACCTTATACTGCTGAAAAGATTCCAGGTCCAGTCATGGTGCAGGCATCCATGGGGCTTTTAATCATTTCTATGTTGTTGTTGTTTTTGCTAAAATTTCAAAAACAGTTATTTTTAGTTTTCCATGGCACCCTCTGTTAACTTTAGATCTAACCTGTTAAGATATATCCATAGACTAGTCATAGAACATAAAACAGAACAAACTAGGGTATACTCCAGAGAAGGAAGATGAATATGAAGGCTCTAAACTCAGTGAGGAAGAGACTTGGTGAAATTTAGTTCAATATATGGCATGCGGGAACTAGCTGAGGAATATTTAGACATATCTATAAAATGAGCTATGATGTTATCACTCTAATCTGACACATCACAACAATTTAGTTTTCTCACCTTAAATGTATATTACATTTATCCCTCCTAAGTGACTCTTGTATAGTCCTCTTAAGCTTCCTAAAAATATATCCAATATGAATGCAAACTGATATTATTCATCCCAATTTCACCACTTGCAAGGAAATGCCCCTGAGGGTACAATTCCACAGTCTGCTGTTGACAGAGAAAGGCTGACACCTAAGCTTTCATTGCAAGGACCTGAGACAAAGGCATCCGGGGCAGGGTGATAGGTCAAAAGGTCAAGGACCAATATAGTGATATGCTTTAGGATATTTGCTTGATTAAATGAGCTTCATAAACTATTTAAGGAGGTTTATACTTACCACTTATGAGAGAGTAATCAAATTAACAGAACACAGCGAAATCAATTCTCAATGTCTTGTTTTAATAGAAGTAAACAGTAGCATTTAACTGGGCTGTTTGAGGAACTCCAACAATACCTATATTTTATGAGCATTTTCACCCTGCATGTTTAGTTTCTGCTAACTCAGGAGTTATTATTAAAACTATTTGGAATTCTTCTACCACATTGTATTTAGGCAATGGCAGAAAGTAGCCCAACAACATGCTGGGTAGAAGGAGACATGCATTTGGGTGGACAAAAGCCACCATAGTTAATCCTCAAAAGTGAAATTTCGGCACCCTATCATCAAGAGTTGCTGGGCATTTGATTAAATACCCCAGGCATTTGGTCCTCAACCTATTTTCATCCCCACCCCCCACCCCCTGCCACTGGCAAACAAGAGAAAATTAGACCAAGAACCTGAAGAAACAAAGTATGTGTACTTTAATAAAGAAATGCTTTTACCTGCCATGCCTGCTGTGATCCAAATGGGCTCTCCTTTCACAACCTTAGTCAACTTAACTCCCAGCTGGTGGCTCTGGAAAACGTAGCCGTGCAGTCTTATTGCTCATGCAGTCTTATTGCTTGGTTTCTGTTCTTTCACTGTCAGCTGGAATACAATAGAGTCAAAGGGAAACAAAAGAGAGATGCACCCAGAAAGGACCTGGAGGGTGGCAACAAAGCAAATGAAGAAAGTGGTAATGAATCCAAGACATCGTGCTGGCCCAATGTGGCATCCCAGACCACTTTCACGCGGAGGATAATTATGCTTCAATTAACTGTCGCTTTTCCCCGCAGATTCACGATATTTTACAAACTATAAATTATCTAGTAGAAATCCGACTTGGCAAGATTTTAGGCAATGTCATGTGATGCACTTAACCCAAAGAGAGAATAGCTACTATCATGCTACTCAGATATGGATAAAACATATTTTACATATTGTGGGAGACTTTGATATAAAGATAAACGGTGTTGAAAACACTAATATTTTGGGAATACAAAGAGAACACCTGACCACTTTGATGGATATGTACCAAATAACAAGTGCTAGATATGTAATATCCTTATATTGTGTCTACAGACATGTGGGGCTTTCCATATGTTCAGTTCTTTTGTTATCTCTTCATTGTCTTTTGTACATTTTTTTTCTTCTCATGCAGATGTTATATTATATTATTTTATTTTATAACAGTAAATAAAAGGCTGTCCCTTACCACAAATCTATATTTCCCATTTTAACTGGAGAGCACTTGAAAGTATGCCATTATTTTTGGTTTGTTCACATTTAAGAATTCACACATCAACAGTTAAACCTTATCAAAAGTTAGAAAATAGTATGCCTTTCCCTCCCATAACAATGACAATGTACATAATTTATTTTTTATTTAAATATGTGCATGCTAAATGAGTCATAATTTTCTAAGCTGGAAAGGTTGAAACATAATAAAAATAATATAATGAATACATAAAGAAAATCCATTAGTTTGGTTTTAAATGTCTCAAATTGATCACAGTTTAGACAATGTATATGAAGCTTTATGTTATAGGTTCATGTGTCAAATTGATAAATGAAAACTTTCTTGGGGCTAGGATAATGACAAATAAAATCAAATGTAATCTCATTTAATGGGACAGGGCAAAATCTCACTTCATCAGATGGTACATTCAGAATGTTTCATTTTTCTTTGTTGTTTTATTACTAATGCAGTAAAATCATTCAAATAGTCTTTCTTATAGGACATTGTGTTCAAAATAATCAGAGTTAGGGTATTAACTAGATGATCCAAAGTTAGAGTATAATTGTAAACAATTGTTATTGTTGTGGGTTCAGCCAGTCTGAAAATTTAGGATAAGAAAAAAAAGAGTAAGAATTTTCCACTGGGTAGCAATAAAAAATAATATTAAGGTAATTTTATATATTACCATGAACTTGCTAGCATATTTTAATTTCTCAGAATCAATTTTTGATCCCACAAAATATTAAAACTCAAATTATATCTACCCCTGGACATAGGAAACTGGTAATTTGGTAATTTTCTACATTGAGACCTGAATTATCTTTCTCGATCATATAACTCTGCTCAAATTCATTATAAAAATGACCAATTTACTACCTCACTTAACATGAGGGAGACAATACTACAGAATGTGGGTCTCAGGGTAGAACAACCAAATGCTACCTGGGGACAGATGAACGTGCCAGAGCGTGTGCGAGTGACTTAAATTGTTCCAGTTATTCTTTTACTTATAAAACAATTTCTATAATCCCCATTATGAGTTCCAAACACATACACTTTGAAGTGAGAGCCATTAACATACGTCATTTCCTACTTCCAGAAGCCAACGCACAATAAATCTCTTACCTTATAGAGATGGAGCAGCAGAGGGCTCATAATAGAATGAGTGATGCATAAAATGTTCTGCAGCTCACTTCCCCTGGGATTTATCCTTCCAGACCTAGGAACACCGCCTGCCTGCGTGGATGGAATGCTAAGCAATGCGGCAAAATAACCAATGCGTTAGACATAGCTTTTCAACTTTGCAAAATCTAGAAGAAACTGTAAAATAAGTAACAAATAAACAAGTATGTGTCTAAACATTTGGGCACAAATTAGCTGGAAAAATGCACTGTTTCAATAAGGAAGATGAGAGGTGGACTCATATTTTTAAGTATGAATGTGTAAGTAATATGCTTTTTCTTAGAAGCTGAAGGACTATTGCATTCTTGGTTGTTTTAAGAGAGAGACTGTTTTATAGTGTGTAACACAATTACTCCACAAAGAAATTACTGTCTCTGAATTACAGTTAAAATGTTGGTCAAATAGTTCATTTTTTCCCTTCAGAAGCATGCAAAGGAATAAAGAAAAGAAGTAAATCTAAAAGAAACACATGAGAAACATATATATATGTCCAAATGTTCATTCAATTTCCTCATTTATTTTATTGAAAAAAAAGTGTCACTTATTTTTTGAAGGCATAGTTTCAAATCAGACTTGTCTCTAAGTCTAAGTTTAGCCTCCATTCCTTGTGTCATATTTCTTCAGGCATGAGAAGGAAAATCAATGCCCCCACTCACCTTGGGAAGAATGTCACTGCCATGTGTCCATGGTTCTATGGGACCCAATAATCCGTGGCTCAGCATTGATTTTTCTATGACACCTGTAGAAACAGCCTCTCCTTCCTTTCTAACAAAATATAGCAACAAAAATTGTGTAGTTTCTGAATAAATTAAACAGAGGCTTTTAAGTAAAACTTCATCCTGTAAGGAAACGTAGTTTACATTTTCTGAAAAAAAGATAACTGCTTGCTTGTTCTGAGCCATTTAACAACCTTTTAAAGATAATGTGAACATATATTTTTAAAGATAACTTGAATGATGTTTTCTTCAGTACTTTGTAGCTAACTCATATATTACCAATAGTATTTATGTTTCTAAGGAAATTGACAAGTTGTAAATAAAGCCTATCAAACTTCAATTTCCAATATTAAAATATCTCCAAAACAAACCTCTTTTTGGCTATGAAAAAAAAAATACAATGGTGTATTTAAAGTCTAAAGTTTTGATGAAATAGGGGGCTGTCCGGGCAGTAAAGTAGAGTAAAGCAAACCCTAGGAGAGAGGTTAGGTTAGCCTTTCGGGGGTATTTTATAGCATTCAAGGAGTTGGGAGAACAGGCAAAAGCCACCAACCTTTCCACTTTCCTTGACAAATATAAATGCAAAAGAAAACTTTGAAAAACCACCCCAAAAGTCATGTTTCCAGCATTTTTCACACACCTGATTTAAACCTCAAAGATATTTGTTTCACCCTGGGCAGACTTCTCTGGGCATGTCTGCATTTGTTCCCTGCAGCCATTCTGCACTGAATGGAGAAACTACAGTTGTCAATCCACTCCGTCACTACTCCATCAGCCTGAGAATCTGCAAAATAAAAATGCAGTGTTAAAAGAAATCCTTTCACGTTAGCTTTTCCTAGTAAAGTCCTAGAGAAGAAAACACAGAGCAGGTTGCTTCCCACAATATCTGTGACATCTTGGTTAAAAGTGACAGAGCCATGTGGCACTCTGACAGGTGTAGTGTTAAGACCTGACAGATGTAAGCCTGCAAGAACAACCTCCCTGTCACAGATATTTAAGCTTATGGTAAAACTTTGATTCGATAGACCCTTGATTAGCTTGTGCAACTGTGAGTGCTACTGCCTTTCAAGTTCATCACAAATGATGCTGTTCTTCATATTACTGCCAATTTAAGTTTCCGTTCTGCTAAAAGGAAGGCATTTGAACTGCTCATCAAACCTGCGCACATTTTTTTGAGTTAAAGACTTAGATCAATCCAAACTTCAGCTCTCAGGGGAGAAGTTCCATTGTTTATCAGGCCATGTCTACACTGGCTGAGCAAAGCGCTCTGTTCAGACGGAGAAGCGCCTTTGGCAGCTAGAGTCCACATAGCTGACCCATGGATGCTCGGTGTTACGTCTCCCCCTAATCACGCAAGTACAGTGAAATTATTAAGCATTTGATGACAATGACCCATCATGACAAAGAAAAAGCATGACATGATTGCGGTTCTAATTTATTTGCACGGTAGTCATTTGGAATGTAATTCAAAGGACTTATAAATATAAGGAAAATGCTTCCACTTTATAGGCAAGGGTGAATATGGGCATTGAAATAGTTGATAACTCAGAATTTGGTTTAACCATGTCATATTTGTTCTCAACAGAACACTGGTGGCACAATTTTAAAATGTAATACTTTTTCCTAACTGGTCTAAGTTAAGCTTATGACTCTAATTTTATATTTATGGGAGAAAAATCCTCAAAGTTTCAATAATTGAGAAGAGGATTCCGATCTCACAAAAAAATGGGTCAAAATGATCATCAATATTTTGAAGGAAATATTTATATTCTTCCCACCTGCACCATCAAGACTGAGTAACAACTGTGGGTGCAATGCCCTCAAATCATCTTGAATGTGAGATCCTTTCAGAATTCTAGAAGAAAAAGAGGTTTAGCAGAAATGTTCTACTAGCAGCTATGAAATTATAGGCTTCTCACACTTCCACCCAAACACACTCAACCCTGTGAAATAATGGGTTCAACACTAATCACCTCTGGAATTTCGCCAGGCTTCCTCACTTGTGAGTGGGCAGAGTTGGACCAAATTGCCTCGAAGGTAGAAAGCCTGTCTCACCCCCATGGATGCCCTCAGAGGGTGTCAGAGAGAATCCATTCCAATGACTTGCAGGAAGCAGGGGGAAGGCTTACATGTGTGGGAATCTACCAGAACTGTGCTTCGTGAGCTATGATTTACCAATATCACCCCACCATAAATTTGCTATGTCAAACTCCAAATCCCGGTTTCCCTGATCACTTGGACCTTGAAGGCAGAATTATTTCCCCCTTCCCCCCTTTTTTTTGCCACTCCCATCTTCACATTTTCAGGATAGTGGTCAGGCTGTTTCTATTTTATAATTGTTCAATTAAGATGCTAAATCCTCTTTTTTGCTGGGAGCAAAATTCCTCCTTCAGACTGAGTCACGGCAACACATTAGTTGAATAAACTTATAAATTACCATTCAGACTCTGAAACCAAAAGAAATCTAGGTGATCTAAGAACTGCTTTACTTAGCAAAGTCTAAAAGAAATCGAATCTATTATTTCCTCTTTCTATATAAAAGCCCCGAAAATATCTAAATATAAAACCACTGTTGCTATCTTTGCCACACAATGTTCGAGGGCCTCACGATCAGGATGATCATGATCGTGAAGATACAGCAAACACCCGTAGGGTCCTTACTGTGTGCCAAGAGCTGCTCTAAATGCTTTATTGGCATGAACTCATTTAATCCCCGTGACAACCCTATGGTAGGTCCTATTATTTCTCTTTAACAGAACAGAGTCACAGAGGCAGCAAGGAACTTGCCCCAGATCATATGGCAGGAAGTAGTAGAGCCAGGATTTGAATCGAGTCAGCTTAGCTCCAGAATCTACTCTCTCATGTTGCTTTTTTTTTTCCCCTTGCTTGGTCGCGGCAACCAAACCATGCCATCATTGATGGAGATCCATATCAGAAAGTGGTTTCTTTACATTGTCTCTTTCTTTACTGTGTGAGTGGAATTAATATGCAAGAGACTGTCTGAGCTGTTCTGACTCCTAGGCTCATATTCCTGCTATCTACTTGGCATTTTCTTTCATATTGAGCCATCATCTCCTTCTCTCAGAATAAGTTAGATGCAGTCAGAAGCAAAATTAATTCTCACTGATCATCATTTCAAAAGAGAATTTATTCCTCTAAAACTTAAATTCTGGAAGATGCTCACTGAATGTGGAAAATATCAAATAAGAAAGACACAGCAAGAATAAAAGTGATTAAACAGGGCCTCTTGAGTAGAGCATGGACCTAACTGTTGTCTCACAGAATCAGGCCTCCTGAAGTCACACCCTGATAGCACTTTTTGCAAGTTGGACCAGTTATTTTTATCTCTCTATGAACTTAGTTTTCTCATTTGTAAAATGGGAGTAAGAATAGTTCTACCTCTCAGGGTTTTGAGGATCAAATCCATTTAAAATGCTTAACCCACTACATGGCTCATAATGAGCATTCAGTGAACGTATGCTGTTGCTATTACTATACATTTAGCTTGTATGAGGCTAGCCTCCAGCTACAACTGAGCACTAACAATCAAAAGGTTTACCCATTTTGGTGTGAAAGTATTAATACAGATTTGAGGAAAATTGGTTGTGGTCACAGGAAATCCTTTCGGCCCAGGGATAATTTGGTTTTAAAAATTTATTGAGACTTATCTCCACATAGAAGTTCGTTCCCCTTTATTATGTGATGCACAGGCAGATCACAGAATCCATCAAACTACCGGAAAAGCCATTAGAGCTCACACTGTTGTAGGACACTCACCTCAAGGGCCAGTAGATGTTTCCATAAAGGTTAGGTTTTAACTAACACAGAAGGATTATTTGCTTAATTTTTAAAATTACATTATCCAGATTTCTGCACAGAGCTGCGAAAATGAAATTGACCTGGGCAGCAATTTTAACAATTTTGAGATTCCAGTGTAGTAAAACTATCTCCCCATCTGTCCATGTATTCAGCTTGCCTGTTTCTTTTTTTCCTTCCCTTCCCTTCTTTATTTTTTTAAAAACTTAGGCTTATGCTTAAGTCCCAACTCTTTGAGGCTGCACAGGCAACTAGGCAGAAATGACTGCCTAGAAACTTCCATCACTGAGAGAAAATAATGCAAGTACTAGAAGGAAATGATCGCTGAATGCCCACTTGCACTGAACTACTCGGTAAGTATTATACAAGGAAAAAGGAAAAGATTGAAACCTTTTTTTCCCCTTTCAGTTCTAAAATGGGCACAATGTCGGTGGAGAGAACAAGGAGCCTGCAGGCCCAGCAGGAGAATCAGGGAGAAGCTATTCGAGGTAAAACTCATTCTTTTGCCT